TGCTAATGATGCCCTGAATTTCTTACAGACAAATGAGTAAGGGTCTTTCAGAAAAAAACCTTTGGTTTGAAAGAAAATTACCAAGACTCCCAAAATAAAAATAAACTGGAAGTCAAACCAAGATAAATAGTTATCTTAATATATAACAAATTCAACTATTTATCTTAATATCAGTAATAACTACTTATCCAGTGAGATAAAGGCTAACAGAAACATTATTAGACTAAGGCATGTATTTTAAATACTAAAGTAGTGCTCCTATAAAGCCATAAAAGCCTTTAATAGGCCTAGCTTTATTTCACCCATAATTTAATTTGTTCCACATCATATTGGAGGAGCCTGAACAGAAAAGCCTCCTGCTCCAACCCAAGTGAGCAAGTGATTCTCCTGTGACAACTGATACCAAAAAGGAGGTCCGGGGTTTGTGCATCACAGGCAGTTGTGACATTTTTCTAACCAAAAATGTGCAAAGTAAATACAGAGAAAATTGTACAGCAATACCCTGAATTATTGAAAGGCTAGCTGTGCAGAACAAACATAATTAAAGGGTCTCATTATCTTCTAAATAATCATTGTAAATAATGCTTTAGATAATTACTTCATTAGTTCTCAAAACACTAGCTTTTATTTTCCTCTGAGATTCCATCCACTAACTCTACTCTGAATAAATTGCCAAAAGGGAAAATCAAAAGCAGAACAAACATACTAGCTGGAAATGCAATGTGTACTTGTTGTAAGAACTGATTTAAACTCAGCATTTAAACCTATTTTGAAATGGATTTTTGGTGGTTTTTTTGCTAATTTTTGGAAGGTTAAAAGCATGGGTTTTTTGAATGTATATATTTTTTTCTCCAGATTGCCTTCTCATGCAGGTAGATTCATTTTCTAGCTGCCATATTTCTCTATTTAGAGATGGTTGACAGCAGTGTGGATAGAACAAAGAAAAATCTATATTATGGATGACTGGCCTTCTTAACTAAATACACATTGCCATTTTTCTTCACTACAAATACCATAAGGTAGACTCAATAATAGAAGAGACTATGTGTCTATAAGCAACTGCCTAAACAAAAGGAAAGCCAAAGATCAAGAGAAGAAATGGGCGGAAAAATCAAACCCCTGCAATTAGATGGCTCAATAGCAAAGAAAGTGTGTTTGGAAAGCAAGTAACTTCTTATTTCCTAACAGCATCCTGTGAGTAGTGCCAGTAACTAAAGCAATGGTAGGACAAAATGGCAAATGCTTTCCTGGTGAGGTCCCAGCCAATCTGCAGCACTGCAGAAGGCTGATGTTTACAAGTCACAGTGTTTGAAATGGCTTTTGCCAAATGTCCATTAAAGAAATTAAGTAACAAGTGCTAACTCTGCAGAGCAAGTCAGAATCATCCAATCCTTTACATAGAAAAGGCAAAAGCCAAATCAGCACTACTTGAAACTGAGGAGAGGATTAATTTTTTCACAGAGGTGATTACTGAAGTTTTGAAAAGGCAAATCAGCAGCAACCATGAAGCTGAGAGAGGGTTGAAACACATTTTGCAGAGGTGCAGCTTCTTTTTTGTTTAAAAACCGGTTTGTGCTGGTGTTGGAAGGAAGAAACAAATTTTATGGCACTTAAGTTCCTCTTCAAAGAAGAAACCCAGAGATACTGAAGTTATTTAAGTTAATTGGCATTATATAGACATTATTTGAGGCTAAAAAGCTAACAATAGATAAATATGCATGACTAGACTGATGTATGCCTTGATATAATGCTGTAGTGTATAAAGAGGGAAGTAATAAGCATTAAAGAGACTATCATTAAAAATTCTGAAGGCTCTCCTAAAGATGTTACTAGGCATTAAATCAAGCACCACCAAAAAGAGTAGAAAAAAAATGCATCCCAGAAACTGGTTTCTAAATCCTAATTGGATTTGGTTTTTAGGGGAAAAAAATAAAGTGGATAGTATAGGGAAAAGAAATCTTCTTTCTCTGGTCTTTCAATCAATGTCAGACGCTGAGTAGTGCTAAATAGGCTATATGAAAAAACCCAGACTCGAATCCAAGGAAGTGTTCTTCCACGACCCACTTTTTCAGTCCTGTCAGCACTTACAAGCAGTTTCCACACGGTGGCGGATTCCGGATCGAACATTAACCCGGCAAGAGCCTGCCCCCCTAACAAGCTGGGACTACTTGACTTTTCCTGCAATTTCCATTTCTCTTCCTTTCCTGCTTTATTACACTATCGACCACCTAAATAAGAGACCATGGTGCTCCTGTACTGAGTGAAAAAGACATCTGTGTTGTGAACTTGATAGTCTTTGTTAAACCATATTCTAATGATCATAGTTTATAACTAAACATGTAATGCTACTTCAGTTAGAACAGAAGGATTGGACTGCTAACTCCCATTGGCTTCTTAGTGATGTAAAAGTACTTCAGCCAAAGTTGTCAACCTGCAGATGCATCTTCGTGTGGTACCTTCAGCAGGTAACACTTCACAGCTTGAGATGTAACACACCAGGCCAACTAACCTCCTTTTTATCTCGTGTCTAATCACAAAACTTCAGTGCTTCAGTCTGAGAGCTTAAGCTTTGCTTAAACGTACAGCAACAACCAGCTGAATGTCTAAGCAAGTCAGACTACCACTCTAATAAAGATGCATTTATCACAAACCAATATTTGATTTGTTTTACATTTTTACTCACCTGTGTTCAAACTGGTCCGAAGGCAACAGCAGTCTTATAAGCTGAAATGGGCACCCATGTACAAGTTCTGTGCTCTGCCACACAGATCCTGTGGGATCCTGGACAAGTCATTTCAGGCACTTGGACAAACTAGGATTTAATCTTCCAATGCTACATACAAGTAGAACAGCTCTGTAATAGTTCTGATGAGTATTTAACTCTACAGTGACCTACAGATGGGAGCCAAGTAAAGTCTGGAACAGGCTTTCAAATAGTTGCAATCTCTTCACTTCTACTTAGCAACATCTGACTGGACAAAGATACTTCAGGTAGTATGAAACTGCTCACAGTGAGGAAACCATTGTCTGGGTGTCTCTGTTGTGAAATATCATTGCCACCCCCTGCTCCTTGTCTAGAGTTCATATATTTTATGTTTCGTCTAGACTGTGCTCTTCAAAATAACCACTTACATCCCTCAGACAACTGAAATCTGTTCCACAAACAGGCCAAGGAAAAAATTCTTCCCAAGGCCAGATTTTCTTCTTACAAATCCTTAGACTAGCAAATATTTTGTTTGATAAGACTTCCTATAAAAACCAATTCTATTAATCCACAGAACATTAAGATCCAGAGTTCGACTGTATGAACAGTCATGACAAAAGGTCTGACGTTTAAAAAAACCCCAAAACACAACCCTAAATAAAAAAACAAAACCATGCTTATATTTAAAAGATTCCGTTAATCACAATCAAAAGTGTTTCATTCTGTAATGTAGAACAGTATGAGAATCTGGTCTGATCTCGCCACTGACACTGCTTTTGCACTAGGTGACCTGCAGAGATCACTTCCAGAGTAATTCTCCGATTCTCTGATACAGAGATGCTCACTGTAGGCTCATGCCACAATTCAGAAAGGAAAAGGTTCGAAAAATAAGCCAAAGATTTCTTTACAACGAGCTGTCAGTGTTGTTATCCAGACTCCAGCTTTTGTATGCCTTCTCACCTATGAGCTTTCACATCTCATTTCAGAAATTTCAAATACGACTCCTTTAACTCTTACCCAGTGTTAGAAACACTGATGAAAACTACATAGTAGCAAACTCAAAAAGGTAAAAACCTGGTAACTACAGAAAGTTAACACAACTGTAATAATACCAAATAACCTTGTCAAATATGTATGGAAGCTGCCTGTTTTCGGTAAGATTACATAAAAAGACTATAAAGTGAGCTGTTACATAAACAGCACCTCTGTTGAGCCCCTATTCATTCTGACATACTCTTTACACTGAGTTGCACTCTGTTAGTATAATGTTGTCCAGCTCAGTTTACTGTTAACTGACAGTAACTGGCAAGGGCTGACCCATGTTCTCTCTAAAGTATGGACAGAGGAATTAAATCTTTGCATGCAAAATAATCCTTGTTTTCTTCGCAGCCGCAAAGTCTGTTGTACAGTAGCTATTCGCATCAGAACTTAGCCATTCTCTAACTATGCTTAAACATAAAAATCCTCCTTTCCCCCGATTTGCAGTAAAATGGATTCAAACGCAGCCAATAAAATCAATCACTCTTTACAACATGTAAATACGATTATTTTGTAATTACTTACCATTTCCATGTATTCTCCTTTGTAAAAATGTTTATTCATGAAGTTCTTTTGTTCTTCAGAACCTAGCTACAAGTGCTTACCAAATGCTCTTTTTATTCCAAAATGCTCATCTCCAAGTGCTTCACTACTGGCAGAAGGACTCTGTGTGCTGGAGAGAGGCAGCTAAAGAGGCTGCAACTGGCACTATGTAGCTGAGCAGCCAATTGCTTACTGTACATGACAGAAAAGACTGAGCTGATTCACAGGTGCAAAGGCTGACCCACTTGGGGAAGAATGCCATGGTTATTTTCAGAAGTTGCATACAAGCCACATTAACGCATCAAATCAAATTTAACATTGGGTAGCCTAAGTCTGTAAACCCCCTTTCACACCCTCCACTGCTCCCCCTCCAAACCCAACAAAACAAAACCCACATCCAAACTGTTCTCTCCAAACTACATGAAGCACAACTGTCTGAAAGGGTGTGGGTTGTTTTAAAATAATATCTTTATACAAAAAAAATCCTTCCTCTTAGGCAGCAGTTCCCTCATTTCCCTTTCTCTTTTAAATCTTATTTATCAGGCTTGCATTCATCAAAACTATGCTTAACAAATCCTCCGTTGCCTAGAAATGTCTTTTCTGTGTTTTGTGCTACAGAGCAAAGAGAAGCAGAATAAAGACAGATTAATTTGGAAACAACTCTAGTTCATTCTGTTGGATTCATTTGTGTTCAGATTTGATGCTTTTTTGCCAGGTACTGGGGTAACAGCACTCAGTGCCAGCAAAAAGCTCTCAGGAGTGGCACACCAGTTTCAAACACGAGCACGTGGGAATAACTCCAGTTAACACCTGGACACCAAAACCCTCAATCCATTCCAGAAATTCCAGTTCTGGGGTGAGCAGGTAAGAGGAAGTTATTTTAATTCTGCACTGATAAATATGCACTTCTATGAGGATTTGAGAATACATGAATAGCTTCATTCAAATAAATAATTCACATATTTTTCAAGTTCAATATTAAGCAAAATTCCACAGGTATATTAAAAAGGTATAAATCCCACTGATGTCTTCATAGTTCTCTCTACATCTGCTTTGACCATCTCTACATCTTTTTTGGTAAAAAGGTTCAGGAAATACAGTACTTTCACTCTAAGTATCAGTTGTTTGACATATGTCTTCACAAAAATGTATCAGCCTTATTCACACACTTACTGGAAATATTCAAAGGTCACGGTAACATCATAAATATAAAAACAGCCACAAGATACTTGCTTAGATAAATTTATTAGTGCATAGGTTAGAGATATATTCCCCTCCAATATTAACAGAACAAAAAAGTTCATGTGAAAAACAAGTTTTGTTTTAAAACAAACTCATTGAGACAGCTGTATAACAAAAAGCTATGGAGTAGGCTATTTAAATTTCTTGTCTTGATGGGCAAATTATTGCATTATAAATAAAAACAACATGATGGGATTTTGAGGGTCATTTTAGGTGATCAGCTGTTAAACAGCAGAACCAATTTCTTTTCCCCCTTATTTCTGTATATGTATAAATAATATTTACTGATAAAAATCTAGAAAACTATAGAATAAAAAACATATTTTACCTAGACTGAGTACTAAGGCAGCCAATCTTTCCCTACTTTGCATGTAAACTTCCAGAACACTCACCCATGTTTGTAAGGACTTAGAGGTAAAGAAATTTGTTCATTAATGAAGCCAAAATTTTTCAAGTGACTTCGTTATGGCCAACTTGCAAAAAGACCAATAATAGTAATTTTTTTTCTTTTTAAATATGTTTGACATCTGAACAGCTCTAGCACATTCACAGTGTATTTGGACAGCAAAGCAGGAACTGTCATACATACAATATTCACTGTAAACTTTGCTGAATTTAATCAAGTCCACAGACTGAGTTACAGTTGACTGAGTAACTTCAATCTTAGACACCTTCAACAAAACAAGAGTTTAAGGAGTTATTGCAGTTAACATTCTAATTATTTGAAACATTGACAAGTGTATTTTTAGACTGTATTTAAAAGGCACACATTATACTTCCCTCTAATTCTCTCACAGTGTAAATATATCTACATATCTACATAGATATGCTTAAACAATGAGAAGTCAAAAAGTCAAGTTACAAATATTTTACACACAAAGTACAAAAATAACCTGTAACATTAAATGCAGTTATTTAGTTACATTTGAAATCTTTCAAGCCTTTAAGTGTTGCAAACTAGCAGTACAACAGGGGTGTATATACTAAAACACTTCATACATGTTAAGACTAACTTTGTAACAGATCAGTGTCTTAGTTTTTACTATGTTTCAGACTTCTCTGAAGGAGTTTATGTGCTACACTCACACATCAACATTAGCAAGCTTCTGAATAAGAAGTCGTGACTTGGCTATATAGAGGAAAATACGACTTTTGTCACATTAATAGTAAGGCTAACTGATCCATCAGGGTTATTTGTATTTGAACAAGGGTTATTTGTAAAATTATCTGCTAAGGTTCAAATTTAATGTGCTTCATTACTGCATTCTTTTACCAGAAATGTTGCAACTAACATTTTATTACAAAGGCAACAAAACATTTAAAGCAATTAAAGTTTGAAATTGAAGGAAAAAAAAACAGAAAGCCTGGAAAATGTAAAAAAAGCTTTTGTTTTTTTTTCCTTCTCAAGTGGACTGCAATAGGAAGACAGTTAGATAAGGAGTCTTTTCAGGATAAAATACTTTAGCACTTGTTGGAGAAAAAAATTCAAGTATAAAGCTTAGATAGCTGACTAAATAATTACACTTGCAGACAAGGCTACATGTCAAAAATGTTCACACGAGTGCTAACAAAAGCAGAACTGGTAAGGTACTACATTTCATGATTAGAATCAGATTTGCAATAGAAAAAAGCTCCAAACAGTCAAAACTCGAAAGTCTCTCAACTCCCTATTTAAACTGTTTGTAACACTGAGATATGAAAAAAAAATTCTAATTTACTTCAGTTCAAAACAATTAAGACCAAGTTTCAGTCTTACAGAGTTTATGATGCAAATCTATCCATATCTTAATACATTCTCATATTCATTTATAAGTAAACATTAAGAGCAACTTTTAGATTTTTAACCATTAGTGATAGGTCATCATCGTGGAACAATGTAAGGCATCACTTATTAAGAAAGGTTTGGTTTTACAGAAGATGTATTTTGGAGTTTCTGAAGGTTCATAACTCTTGGAATGTGCTTGCTAGGATAGTGTTGTTGCTAGGATAATTCCAAGTATCAGAAGCAGTACAGTAACACAGATAATGATGAACATCAGTTTCTGCAAAAAAATAAAAGTTGAGATTGAAATACCCTGTTCACATACATGTACAGCCACAGAAAAAACTGACACCTCATCTCAGTGCTTTGATTTTCTTTCTAGAAAAATTAAGATAAATGCTTACTGCATTTATTCTTTCCTAACGTACATGTAACCATAGTTAGAAGATGGAGCTCTGTGAAACATTTCTATGTTTTACTTCACAGTATAATTCTTATTACTCACAGCCAGCTTTTGTAGATACCGTTACATACAGAAGCAGATGCAGTAGTGAACATTTACTTACCAGGGTCATGTCTAAGTACAGTAACATTGCTTACTGCCACCCTCCCTTGATAAATATTTGTAGTCTGCTCAACTCTTGAGATGGCATGCTTAATGGAATTCACAGAACTCAATAAAACGTACGTAAAAACACTGTGTAGGTAATACCTCAGAAGAGCTGCAGGGGGGAAAAATGTATAGGTTCTATGTATATGCATGAAAGCCTGACATCAGGTCAGGTGTTTCTGACTCTAAGCAATGATACAGTAAATCTGTTACCTGCCTATAAACCAAAGCTGAGAAGAAAGTCTAACAACAAAAGTAAAAGCCTTGCTATTAAGAAGAGTGTTAGTACAGAAAATTGAGTTTCTGATAAGCTGTTCAGAGTGATACCCTCTTCATAGTGCCTCATGCATACTTTGAGGATCCTGCATGCAGAAGTTGACTTTCTGTTGGACTCAGGAGTTAAGTAGCCTGGTTACGTGTTATCTTGACAAGAATTGGTAGCTTAGTATAGCAAGAATCTGCAGATTGAACAAATTATCAAATTTATGTCCTAAAATTCCAGCTGGAATCTTTGCAGACTTCCTTCTACAAATGTTATTTCCCACTGCTTCATTTAGTCTGGTATTAATAAATAGCTTGAAAGTAAGAAATTGTAGGATGTTCTACAAGGCATATAGCCAACTTCATGGTTGTAGACATTTCTTTTTATGAAAGCTCTGCCTAAAACCATGTAACACCCCATCTGATAAAGTTCCAAGTGTAACTGGTATCCCATATACTGGTGTAGATTTTTTGCTGATGTGAAGTTTCAGTATAAAAAAATTTCAAAGGGCTACAAGACAATAACTGCATTTTTGGTCTCATTTCCTTCTGCATTTATGAGTCTCATGTAGTGATAGCATTCTGTGCATGTGGCAGCTTACCACTAGGTGTCAGTTTCAATACTGACATGCATAGCACTTTTACAGTATCCAGAGATGAACAAGATCCCCCAATGCATCTTAAGCCTACTCTCCAGTGCTAACTGCATGGATATTATGGATTAGTAGAACAATACAAGTTACCAGGCCAAAACAAGAGCATAATTAGTTGATTAGTTACTTACTGCCACTGTGGCAGGAAGTCACACATGCTGCGGTTATCCGCGTTGGTAAACCAACAGACAAACCAATAATGAGAGCAACTACAGCAATCAACACCAATGACACAATGACAATTATCCACATTTTCTGTCAAAACCCAAGGCATTTATTATTTTAAGATTAAGCACAATGATTTGCATTTATTTTTAATGTTAAAAATAGTCAAGTTTTAGATCCACACTCATTTTTGTTAAAGCCTGCAGTGTTCTCCAATTGAGATAAATTTACCTGTATACTCTTGCATGCATAAGAATAAACACTGTTTACAGTTAAACTACTGTAGTTAAGACTTTTATAGTTGTCAAAGATGAGAAAAACACCATTTACATATATATTAAGTGGGCTCTTTTGATATTTCTTAAATATTTTTCTTTAAATATAGTGTGTTACCTACATGTAGATATCTGTCTGTAAAAAGATATATTATTCCCTCAAATCCAACTCACCATAAAAAGTCTCACAAAATTGCACAGCTTCTCAAAAGAGGAAATTATGAAGTCAAAAGAACAATTCATTCACTCTGCAATCATACAGTTACAAAGTATAAATTACTCAGTAGTTTGATTCCAGAATATATTATTTCGCTTTCTGATGGGAAGGAAGATATTGAAACACAAAAGTTTCCACACCAATGGCAAACACCTGAACGCTACTCCATTCCTCCACAAAACTGAGTATAGTGGTTTAATATCACACTCTTTCCAGAGGGAAGATCTCCCTTATCTAGTACTTTTACAAGAGTACAGAGGTAGTTACCTGTAAAAAGAATAATTGCAGATGGAATTCTAAAAAAGCCTTCTTCAGCAAAACAAGTAATTTTGTTTTTCCTGCTAACATGGCAATTTTACGGCTCTAAATCCAGGTAAATTTACCAGTGATAAAGAAGCAAAAACCTTTAGCTTATTTAGAGTCTGAATAATTAAAAGGTATCACGGTAATGGATAAGAACCCCCTGTGAATTTATCTACTGGCATAGTACATTAATTCTTCTTTTGGGTTTTTTACACTTTGTAATGACAGCTTTTTAAGTAGAAAACATAGCTTTATCTGTGTATGAATTGCTTGTATGTTTTTGTAGTAAGACAAGTTTCTGTCCTCTACTGGTAATATCAATTTTTAAAAACTGTAACAAATCACTTTGGAAAGGTTATGATTTTTTTCCTGATGGGACTGTGGGGTTGCTTGTAAAATCCTTTGGTAAATCTTCCTGTCACATACTAATTTATAACAACATTTTGTAATTTTAAATTAAATGTGTATTAATTCTACCTTAAAGGACTGAATACAACAACACAACTAAAATTGAAGGTCACTTCATACTGTGCTAATATACTGACTAGCATAATTACAGAAAGATAGCATACCCTTCGTGCTTTACTTTGATATTTAACTGCCTTTTTTGTTTCTTCTTTTGCATGTTCCACATAATCTGATGCATTCATCACGTTCTTTTCTATGTTGTTGATCATTTCACCCTTAAAATGAAATTTTGAAAAAAAAAACTTATTAGAATACATGGATCCTTGCTTAATGAACTGAAGAGAAGGAAGGCTATAGAACATAAGTGATTAAACAGTAAATAATGTACATATTGGCAGCTGACATTTTTTCTGCTTTGATGTGTAAATGGAAAAGGGAATGAGAAGCAAGGGCGCAAAGTTCTAACTAAACAAGGAACATTCATGGGCAGGGCAGGCATATTTCTCCCTTTAGCACAAACAAATACTGAACACCTGAAAACATACCACTGAATGTGAGGTATGTTTTAACAGCCAAAACTAAAGCTGACACACTAAAGAGATGAGAAATCTCTGAGGTGCCTGCAAGTGGGAAAAGATACTGACTCCTTTTGACACAAGGTTCAACAGTTATCTAAGAACACACACACATATAATAGCAACCTCAGAAGTTCCATGGAATTGAGGGCTCACCGTGTCAATACACAAGAAATTCAAATTAAGTATGATGAATGAAGTTTGGTAATGAAATGGAGGATTTGTGAAAAATTACAGTAACTCCATTACCTGTGTTTCTGTCCATCAGAAGAAATAGTCAGCAGCAGTAAACAGCAAAGCATTAAAAAATGATGCACAAGTAACTTTTGTTCATTTCTAATTCAAAAGAAAACTGCTACCTTTTTTTTTTTGCCTTGGCTAGATAGTTAGCAGTAAAGCAATGCAGGACTGGGAGAACAAAACCCAATTAAAAAAAGACAAATAAAATAGTCCTTTTCGGGAAAGCATCTCCCCTGAACACGACTCTTTCCACTTTGCTGCATAAGTCAAAGAATTTTAAAAACAGAAGTTAAAATATTTTTGTTAGATAATTGGTACGTAAAGACATGAACAAATTTATGTAGATAAGATAAAGCTTATAAACATACTTGAATGACTTTTCAATCTCTGTATATTCACCTTAGAACAGTAATCATACCTTTGTATTATGTGCAAGTTGCACACATTCTTGCTAATGCACATTTTATTCTACAACAACAGTCCTTTACCACACCTATAAGAATCCTAAACTCCCAAGATACCAGCAAACATTCCACCAGAAAGTTGTTCTTTCTTAACCAGGGATAAAATGTTCGAGCTTATTGCAATATAAGCATGCTGAAGAAAATATTAAGTATACCAACTGAAAATAAAGGCTACGCTTAGTTATTCGTAGGTAGACCACAAGTACATCCAGACTGTGTTTGTCTAAAAAACCTTTAGTGATCAACTTTCATATATTCTAATCATAGTCAAAAACCACCCTAAGTCTGTACTATCTGAATATAAGCAATTGTTCCTGCATATTTCAAAGAGGAATACTGAGGGGAAGAAAAAAAATAAAAAAACCCTCTTAGATAAACGTGTTTGAATTGGTTCATTTACCTGAGTCTCAACAAACATTGCCATGTCCATAAACATTTCATGTAGTTCCCGTATGCTGGATTCCAGTTTCATAATATCCTTGTGACGCGACTCAATTTCGTTCAGAGCTTGCCTAGTGATCTGAGAGTCTGATATAATCTTTGGAAGAACAAAAAAGATATGGACATAAATATGTGCTGACATACTTCTAAATATGAGAAGCAGCAAAATAGAAGAGAGGCATAAACTGGACTAGAAATACGTACATCTGAAGTGAAAATTGAAGGATTACCGCTCTCTAACATTTCTTCCAGTTCCTCATCAGTGGTGGTCTTTCCAGCTAGGATAGAAACACCAATACTTTACATAACATCACTCATTATTGAACATAAGATTTTGCCATACCAGAAGGATGATAATTCAAAGAAAATTATTCTATTAAGCATTGTTTTCAGCCATTACCAAGTGCCATTTTGCATATGGAAAAAACACCGCAAACCAACCCAAACCAGAAAATATCAAGTAATAGTCAGAAGACAATGCTGAGGAAAAGCTCAAGGCTCTAACTGAGTTATAGCAACACATAACCATGTCCTAAAGTATTAGGATCTCTCTCCTTAAACATATAGGTAAAGAAGAACTTAACTTGCCCAATAAACTTAACTGAAAAGCTGAATGGAACCATACGCATGAGAGGCTAATGACAAACTTGAGAATCACAGGAAAAGCAAAGTTATCTTGTGATTTGCCAACTTTCTGTTTGCATTTCCTATTTCAGCAATATATGTACTTGCTTTTACAGGAGATAATAAAGGCTAATCTTAGGTACAATATGTTATGGATATTTTAGACACCTTCTGAGGTAGATGCTGTAGTTCAGAGTACAGTCAATTACCTTTCTGAATACTCCTCATAGTAATCAATGATGAAATAACTCAGATGCGAGTCAGTCAACAAATGATTAATGTAAATTAACAGCAGCACTGATTTTAGTCAGCTGAATTTAACAAATGTTCTTATTGACAAAAATGTCACAGGATAAAAAGAGATGTTCTGTTTAACACGTTAATTTTAGAATGGCTTTTACTAATACTATTTTCAGAACACAGCTTTTCTCAATGTTTCATTAAAAGTTGTAGCATCAGAAATAAATGAAACAAAAGGAAAAGATAGTTACTTGAATAGTTTTCAACCAAAAAAAAATGAATTGAGTTTAACCTTATTTTCTTTACAGCTGCTCTGAATAGCAACACTAAAGAGTTTATGCCACGTGATAGTTTTTCCTTTCACATCCTGCAAAAAAGACATGCAAGATCTATAATGCTTTGTACCATCTTTAAGTAGCAAGAAACAAGGTAGGTATTAACAACACAATTAACTTTTTTAAAAAGTGTATTCAGGTCACTCACTTATCTCCAATTGCCTCTGTATCCGACCTTTGCTGCGTTCTCGAAAGAGAGTTTGTGTCTCGTTGTATTCCATCATGACCTCCACAAACTTGTGAGCCAATACAGAGTGCTATTTTATAAGGATATAAAAATGTGGAACAAAACCAATTATTTTTTTTTGTAATACAGCACAATACTGCACAGCAACTGAAAGTTACATTCCAACAAAACAGAACATGAACCTCTGAAATAATTTCACAGTGGTGAAAACTCATTCTCCAATTTACTAGAATCCTTTTATTTAAACTTAAGTGATCATACCTGTGTTTTTCTTATCCTGAGGTCCACTGATGTCCGATTAGCATTTTCACCCTGATCAAAAGTCTGCTCAATAGCTAAGAACAATACAAGAATGTTATTAGTCAATGGTCAGTATAATTATTTAATAGCTCAGTTACTTTGTAAATAGTGCTAACTAATATTTTCTTCATGTATAAGATCCCCACAGACATGTTTAACATTTGGGGTGTGGCAGTGATATATAGATAATACAAAATAATTTTCATAATTGGTACAGATCTTGTAACACAGTAACCACTTCAATACTTTTACAGAGTCACGCTACTGTCTATTACTACAGAAAAATCTCAAAAGTTCTAACAATACTGGCTGCTCTTACAGTTTAAACAATAAACACCATACCCTAGTGTTTATGGAAGTAATTGTAATACAGCAACATTAAAACACTCAATATATTTCAAAACCTATGCTAAACAATGAAGACATAGCCACAGGGGAAAGCCAAAGCAAAATTAGCTAGGTTGAATTTAAAACACACTAAGTGCTCTAAAGCAATTCCCTGTGTAGGCATGTATGCTATGGAGACTCTTCTTGTGGTAAATCTTCCAAGACACCATGACCAAAACCCAGCAGTTAAGCTGCAGAATTCACATCTACACAGAGAAATTACTTTGCACTTTAATTTTCTAGGCTATTCCTGAAAGCAAGCAAGCTCTTTGTCCTGTTCCACAGAATGGGCTGTGCTGAGACCTGGTATTTGTTAGTGGTGAAGGTTGCCAAGGAGGAATAAAGTAGAGGACGATAGGGTTCCTGGCATGGGTTGTACATTAGTTGGCAGGGAGGGGGAGGCTCTCTAGTTTAAAGAGCCATCCAATCCAGTTTATGCACACACAATGCAACTTTTAAAGTTTAGGAGTTCAGCTGCAATGAGCTAAGTCTGTAACACTGCTACATCCTGAATCATTACACATGACGGCAGTTCTATTTCTCCTCACAATTTACCCTTTAACCTGGCTCGGACTTTATTAGCAATCTTCTTTATTTCCTCATTTAATTCTTCAAGTTCTTCTTTTGTTCCTGAAAGAAAAAAGAAAATTAAAAACATGTTTGTTTTTTTTTTTCTTCAGAACTGTTGATAATGGTAAGCCAGCAACTATCTAGAACTCTACCTTGCAATGTCATAACTGCATCCAGTATAACCATGCAGAGGACTTGTTTATTATACTCCTAAACACTTTACCATTTTTGTAGCAGCATACTATTAGGTTCCTGCTTCTTATGAGAAGCTCTTACAGTTGGGAAATGTTATTACCAAGTCATGAACTAAACCAGGTAATGAAATATTCCACATTTTTTCTTAACGTAACACTTTCGGGGTAACATTCGTTCGCTCATCAAAATGAAAGTTCACTGAAGCCTATCAAATGAAGATACAGATTTTTCCGCACTTCTACTTTGGTTGTTTAACATGGACTCATAGCTTTTGCCTTTATTAACACATCTGGACCATGCACTCCCTATTATTAAGAATACTACACAAAGAATTCACAAAGAATTTCACTACATCTCTGCTACTGGGTTTACTGAAGGCACTAGATTCACAAGAGCCTATATTACTTACAGGCAAGGTCATGTTCCTACACAATTCATATGCATGATTGAGCACAGTTTTTAGCACAAACACAAGCTGATACATGAGCTGAGACCACAGATGTTAAAACACTCAAATGAACCCAAGATGTATGTATGAGATGACTGTGTACGATTGTCAAGACAAAAAGCAGCCTGCAAAGTCATTTAAGAATACAAGCGTATGCCCATCTGTAGACAAAGAAAATAGGAAGGAGAGAAAAACTAACATAGAAAGTTCAGTTTTCATCAACAAGAAAGAGCTGCAACATTTCACAAAAATATCTCCCCATCTTCCCTTTTCTTTAAGCTTCTCCCGTAAACACAGGCATTCCTTGAATTAACAAGGGTTGACAACACATGAGGTTACTGGGTAAGTTCCCTAAACTTTTGAGTTCTCTGTTCAGAAAGCACATCTGCACTTCCAGCACTTCTAAAAATAGGGCTCTGTCATTGAACTGCCTACTACTGCTAAAGCAGCTGGTTATAGTGTTACTGTTAGGCAGGATCTTGCCCCTATTTAAGAACAAAGAGAAGATGATGGCTGTACTGTATGAGTGTCAGCTGACACTTCAACACTGTCACCAATTAAAAGAAATGCAAATAGCTTCTGTGTTTCTGAAGACACAACCCATTTCATGATACCATATTAAACTGGAATTTTGCTCTAGCAAACGTGTGGATCATGCAACAAATACGCTGAAAATGTATTTATTCAAATGAGACTTACGGAGTAAAAAATAAGCAAATGAAAACATTAATCCAAGATAAAAAATGGAAACATTTAATGAACTGTGTTACGTTTTGCATTCTGAACACCTCAAGTTCTATTCCCATAAATAGCTAAAAACATGCAAATTATTTCAGAACATCCAGCCACACATATCTGAAATCCAAAAAAAGTGATACGCACTTCCTTCAGGATTTGGTGCTGACAGGATAATGCTGTGCTGCTTCTTCACTTCTTCCACATTTTGTGCTATTTTTGCTATATTATTTCTAAGTTCCTCAACCTAGAGGAAGAGAAATATGGCAATGAGAACAGTACAATAATTCAGGCCAACATTTGATTTAGAACACCATTACAAAGCATATTGGGGATGGGGTGTAGATGAATTTGTTAAGCCTAATTACAGAAGTTAAAAGGCACAGAGAAATAACTAAGTCTTTAATGCATGGTGAAAACTATAACTTTACCTGTTGGAAAAAGTCATCCATAAAATGGTCTTTTTCAACAATAACTGTCTCCCCATCTTCGTTTCCTTTATACTGTAAAAGACAACAAAACAAATCTATGAAATAAAACTCAGGCTCCTGTTCAACACAATGACACCCTCTTCACCACTGCTACTGCAGACACATTTCTGCCAACAGTCTGCCAAGTCACAAAAGCAAGTTTCCTTCTGAGGGCCACAGTTCAAAAAACAAACAAGCAGAGAGGTCAAAGAAAGAAACCACCCAACTACCATGAAGTAGTGAATGCTCAGGCATTTACATGTACTCCTCTGTAAACAGCTTCAGGACAGAACCAGTCTGTGAGTGATGTCACAGTTTCAGTACCTGTCATAAAAACTATTCAAATAATATTTGGCATGTAAGTGTTCTCTCACAGCATAAAGATACTTCCACAGAGAGTCCCACATGAACTGAAATTAACATTCAGTTTACTAAGACAGTGAATCAATCCTTCTCAAAGAAATGCTAAGAGAGATGCTGATGACTGCCTTGTGATGGTGAAAGCTCAACATCTGTTGCAAGCTAGAACTAAAAGCTACCAACATCTGCTTACTAGTTTTGCCCTCGGATGTCTCAAGGCTGCCATTCCACACCACTTTAGACATAATTACACACACTAAACTATACACACATTACATAATTGATAAACCCTGGAACAGCAGCCAAGGCAGCAGCAGCTCAAGCTGACAGGCTGTCACAGCTTGCCAGGGCATCCAGCCCAAAACACTGCCTCCCTCACACTGGCCTAATCCTTGAGCCAGCCCTGCAGAATACATGGATCCTCACAGGAACAGATATTAAAGTTTTATCAAAGGAAAAGAGAAAACATGCATCCTAGAAAGGCAAAGAGCTCCAGCCTCCATGTTCTTTAGTTCCCTCTGTAAAAAGCACAGGCTGTTTGAACAGCATTGAACCAAAATTAGAACAAAATATTATTCTAGCAGATAGTCAAAGGGTTATCTGTTAGGAAAATAAAATACAAGACAGGTACCATCAAGGGATTTTCACATCCTAGACACTTTTCTTCTTACAAGTCACTCTGCCTTTGGTCTTCTAACACCTGCTTTCTGTTCCTAAACCCTGATCCTATTTACCCGTAGGCCCTTTGTTTCTGGTTTTATTAAACTAGGTGAGATGTATATTATTTGCAAGACAATTCTGCAATTTAATCCCATGTCAAGCACTGCTTTTATCTAATCAAGGAGGTTATATTTAATGAAGATCTAGGAGTGCCCCAAATCTTCAAGGAGTTATTACTCAGACTTTGTGACAGTTGTTTTCCTGCAAATTCAGGGAGTGCGTAAAGCCCTATGACAATCTTTGTCAGAAATCATCTGTTTTTTATACTCACAGAAACCCATAAAGCCCCAGCTGAAATACAGAAATTTAGGTGTTGCTACTTTCCCGGCCCACCCTCCCATCACTCATAGCACCGTGTGTCATTGAAGACTTTTTGCAGTTACTCATTTTGAGGACATGACTGCTAGAACTCAGTATTAAAGAACCTGTCCTCAGGGACTGTAATCAATCAACAGTCTTGCTTAACACACACAAGTGAGACAGTCACCCAACTTTTACCCATGCCAGAGACTACAAAGCTACCAGTTGAAAGTTAAGAATGAGCAACACATTAAAGACCTTTAATTTCATTACTTAAGTAAAAGAACAACTTCTGCTTACATATACTGAGTAAAGAATAATTTTTGTACTTGTTTATAACCACATACTGTATTTAGTTAATTGAACTAAAAAAAAAAATGAAAATAGCATTAGCTAAAAGACACAGATGTCAGCTTTCAGCCTGGTCAGATGATCTTGGTAAAACATTAAACACCTGAGTGAATCGTAAAGAAATGAAAGATACAAAAATCTTGCTGAGAAGCCCTGTTTGTAGATGCCAGGCTGGAAGGGAGCAATCAGGATTCCCCACCCTATAGGCAGGTCCATATTCATTTCACTTTTGCATTTGGTTGCAATGACACCATTGACAGATTCTCTGTCTACAATTTGTTGAAGGATTTATGGACATCCTAGTTTGAACATCAGCACCTGAGATACTTGGTGACTTGTCAACCTCTGACCTCTACATTCTTAAATCACCACTTCCCTAAAATACAGCTTATCTGCTAACTCTCTTGAACTTTAGTGATGCACCTCTTCTGACGACCACACAATGTAACCAAGAACTCACTTTTATCATCAAGTTCAACAGAAACACATTGTTTCTCCTAGACCTTGCCTCCCCAGCATAACCAGTATCAGAAAAAGCTGATAAAAGTTACACGTCAATGTCAAGAGCAAACTAATGAAGCCTGTTTGCAGCTCATACCTTGACCTTGGGACTCAAAGTCTGGGACATACAACCCTATAAACATTCATAGACTTGTAAAATGTATCAAGTTCCTTAGAAACTGGTTTGTATCACAGAATCCAGATATTCAGACAATATCATTTCTCAGCTCCAAGTAGAAGCTATCCTGGTGGCTATGAAACTTCTGACATTTCCCATACCTTATAGAATTGCAAAAGTCAGTCTAGCTTGAGATTCCTTACCACATTAATTATCAACCTTTGAAACTGAAACAGCTTTTGACCTAAACCCACAACTATTACTTGCTCTTTAAATCCCATCCAAGGTTAGTTATTTCCCAGTCCAGATCATGTGTATTCCTCTGGCAGGCTCCGAGGACAGTAACTGACCAGCATCACTCCAAGGACTCAACCCCAAGGAGCGGGTTACAGAGTGTTACAGTTTCTCCTTACAGCATCAGTGTTTCCAGAAATTCTTTTCTATCACAGCAGCCAAGAAGGGCTTACAGACAGCCAAGATGATCAAACAGGCAGCTCCAGCAGGTCAATTTTTAACATGCATTTAGTAGCATTATCAACAACCAGAACAGCATCATATGGTAACCATCTATAAGAAATTAGCCTGTTATGACACGGAAAACATACAGCTCATCTTCAGAAAATTCCATGTCTGAACAAAGACTAATGTAAGAAATTAACTCCTGAGGAGGGAAACTCTGTAATGTTTTCCTCCTTCTGAAATAGTTCCTTTTGCATTTTTTTTTTTCCATTCCACCCAATTCTACCAATTTTAAACTTTAGGACTTTGTGGTTCTTCACTTGTTCCTAAACAGTTCTGGGGGCACTAAGTGAACGCCCAAGAGATAGCTTACAAAAAAATGCAGTTCTGTTCAAGTTACGGGTCTTTAACAACAACAAAAGCTATAACCATACATTTTGAAAGGTTTTATCAGAGATATCCTCAGTAACACTGAAGAGTAAGGAAATGTAAAAGCATGTATTTAAAATGATTAACCAATCAAGCAAGAAAAATAGATTTCAATAGACAGCTCTGCATCCATTTCAGAAACAAGGTAGTAATTTTAAAGCCATATGAACAATGCTCCCCTAACTTGAAACCCAAATCATCGCTCCTAAGCAGAGACTTTTTACATCTTACTGCTTTCTTAAATGATTTAGCAAGTATAACAAAAAAGTTTGAATGAGTTTTATTAACAGGCCTTTAAAAGGACATCTGTTTTTAATATCAGACACTAGCTAAATGTGCTGAGCTGACTGTCTGAACATAGACCCCCCGGCTCTTTTCAAGCCATTTCAAGATGGATTTGTATCCGTGAACAGCAAACCACTGAAGGCTGGGAGAATGTTTTATAATCAGTGCTGTGTACTTGCCTTGGGTTTGTTTTTTCCTATTCCATAAATGCATACCATCCACCACTGCTGAAAACAGCATATGGGATCAGAGAGAATCTTTTATTCTTCTTTTAATCTTACACCAATTTGTGCTCAAAATAACTAATACCAGTCTGGGATTTGATCAATTGTCCAGTTAATTGCAGTCAAGGACAATTCTGACAGCTGAAAGAAGTTCATTTTGGCCTGCTTAGAATCATTTAGAAAGTACATGAAAATAATCCCCTACAAATACGATTATGGTTGCTCTCTTCTGAAAAAGCATGTACTGTACAAGAATTTTTCTAGCAAGAAAATAAGAGGATGCAACATTATCTGTTCTCCAGCAACTACTTTAGCCCTGCTTAACTGCTCAAAAACAGTGTATTAACAAAAGTATCAAAAAGTTATGATCATTTTATGTTAATGGATTACAAACACTGATAAGTAACATTTCTCTCTCTTTATAAAAGATACAGGGCAATTTAGGAAAAAAGTTACAGCTTTTAATGACAAAAGTTTGCTTGCTGTCACATAAAATCCAGGAGCTCACAAAAAGAGCATGTTAACTTCAATGAACATTTCTGCTAAAGGGAATACTGTTAAAATGGGTCAGTGTTGACTGGCCAGCATCTCCTCAACTACTTCTGTACCTCAAAGGGTCTTTGGGGGAAATAGGGTGGATGGAACTTATTTTGGTAAGATCCAACCAAAGTAAAACACTATGAAATTCTTATATTAAAGGAAAAGAGGTAAGGCACAGCTATTCCTGAAGACCTTGCAGGCCCAGGCCTGTTCAAAAAACATGACTTATATGCTCTACTTAATGATTCAACCAAATAAAATACAATGAAACTACACTAATCAAACTGAAACAGTTTAGAAAATAGGCAAATAAATGTTAATACATTAGCTCCTCACTCAGTTTATTTATTCCTTTTCAAAGCAATCTTATCTAAGTGTGGTCAAGGATCACAGCTCAAAGCGCTTATACTACTGAAGGAACATCACAAACCATGATCTCATTATTTCTCATATAGATGAAAGGTGGAAGTTGCTACTTCCATGAGTTCCCTGAGGAAACCAAGTTTTACAAAAGGCACCTCCCTCAGGGATGCAACGTTTCAAAACTTCATGTCAACTGCACACTTTTGCGTGATAAAATTTAGACTGGATCTTCAGTAACTTCAGTTGATGTTTAAATATTTTCTTCCAGTTAGAAGAAAACTTTTAAGTCTCTAAGCTATTTGTTAATTCTACAGGCAGCAATACTGAACACTTATAAGCAGCAGCTTCCTGCAGTGACATTTCAGTTGAAGCAGCTTGCTGCAGTACCACATTTTCAGATATCACATACTAAATCTGGCTTAAAAGCCTCTATTCATAGTTGCTTTAAAAACTGTTAACAATATCTAAAATGAGGTTTATTTTCTGTTGTTTCCTTTTTTTTGTGTGCAGATTTTTGTTTTTACATTAATAAAACCCATTCAACAGACCACTGCTGCTTCCCCTCAGTCAGAATGAAGTCTACTTGTTTAGGGCTATACATGAAAAATTCAATTCAGATCACTGCTTGCTGCTTCCTCTTTCCAGGAAGCAGGCACCATCACCAACATTTGGCACGTATTCCTACAACCTGGACATGTTTAGAAAAAGGAAAAGGGAAGAATTAAATCTGAAACAAATTACACAATTCTTTGGCATGCCTCCAAAACATCTTTCCTGATAAAAGATACTGTAATCTGACAAGGCAAAATCTTTTCAGATGCCAATTCATCCTTTTAGGAAGGAAGATGAAGACACTGATAATTCCATCTCTTAGAAACAGAGCTTCCAAAATGTATTTTGTGATCCAGAAGATATGAACTTAATTTTAAGATGAACGAGTGCTAAACATGCCTGCATGTCGACACAGGCCAACTTCCACATATATGTGGAATCCCAGAACTATCACAGAAGTTCTCGGTGATCTCCACTTCCATTTCTTTCCAGGAAGAAAAACCAAAACAAACCAAATATCCTTTTACTTTACCCAAGCCATATCCTGCTGTTGACAGGACGGTACCTCCCGCCAACTCTCCCTTCTTTTTTAGGATACCGTTTTCAAAGCACAAATAAGGGAAAGGAAAAGAGTGTATAAACATAGCCAGCTACCATTTTGTAAACACGCAGGAAATAAAATCTGCGGATAGCTTTATTGACGCGTTACCGGTTAAACAGTTCCCAAGCGGATAAATCTACCCCACGACACCGCAGGCAGCTCGAAAACAACGCTATTACCCGGCGCATCTGCCATTCAGAACTGTAACGGCTTGGACGCGCTAGAGGTCAGGAGGCAGCGGGGGAAGGTGTTCTAATAAACCGGAGAAGCCTGACCTCTTACTGCCAGGCCCCCAGACCCTCCCCGGCTCCCGGGGGAAGCCGCCCCTGCCTGAGAAGGGAGCGGGGAAGGGCGGTGCGGCCGCCTCCCCGCCCCAGGGCCGCGGCGCTGCCTGCGCGGATCCCGTCACGGAACACCGGCCTTCCCGCCGATGTCCGTTACCTCAGCCGCGATAGCGGCCCCAACTCCCCCGCGCTCCGCCGCTTTGTACGCTCCCACCCGCCGCCGCCCTGCCCCGGAGGGCGCCCCGCTGCCCCTAAGCCGAACCCTCGCGTCTGCCAGGTCAGCCAGCCGGTCCTTCATCCCCGCAGCAGCTCAGCGGCTCCCCGCGGTACCGTCCTCCTGCTACTGCTCCCCGCCGAGGGCCGCCCGCGCCCGGCCCGCTGCCCCCGGGGCCACCTCCCCTCTCTCGGTCTCGGGGCCGGCCGCTGCTGACGGGCCGGGCTGCGTTACCGCCCCACCCTCCTTCCGCGGCGCGCTGCGCAGCGGCCACGCCCCCAGCCCCGCCCCACGCCGCCGCAACCACAGGCCGCGCATGCGGGGAAAGGGGCGGGCGGGGGTGGCAACCGTCCCCTCGGGAGCCCGCCTCACGCTACTGACGTCAGAGAGCGGGTGGCTTGGGCGCGGGCGCTGCCTGAGGTAACTGGCGGCTGCCCCGGTGTAGCGGCGGGAGCTGTGAGGGAGTAGGGGTATGGCGGCTGGTCTGGGGCGTCATGAGAGGATGAGTTGTAAAGAGTTGTGATGTCATTTTGGAGTTTAGTTTTATTTAGCTCTTCTCTGGCCCATGATGTGGGTCAGCTGCAATCGGGCTGGGTGTAATTTATGTTTAGTGTGAAAAGCACACAGGCTGCATCCTCCCTTTGCTGATGCTTCTGTTCACCACAGGCACCCCTTTCCATCTAAGAATATGAAGTTACAGCCTGCGGCCTGCTGTTCAACCACAGAACAGCTAGGAGCGATAAATACAATGACTGGAAATGAAAACAAGGCTGCATGCTTCCATTCCACAGAGCAGAAGATAACCTGCTGACTTTAATTCTTCAATTAAAACATGCTGACACATTTCCTTGTGGTGATATTTAGGGCTCTAGTAAAACACCAAAACTTTGCCCAACTTTGCCCAAATCTGTACAAACCAGGTATGTGTTCAAAGTCTGGGAGCTTCTAGGAAATACAGCATGCACCTACTGTGGAAGGCAGAAAATCCTCAGCGGTATTGTGTTCTCAGGTGCTATCTAAAAAGTACTACTTCAGAATACAGTCAATTGCCTCTTTTAGTGTCTCAGTTCTATATGTGCAGACTTTATCTTCTAGACTACATGTTCAGCAACTGTAAATGCTAAAACTTACTTTTGGATGCTGAGCAAAATCTATGCATAATTTTCCTTGTGTAGTTAAAGAAGCTTATTCTGGATCAGGAATTTAAAGATCCTGAATTAGCAATGTAAACCAGTTTAACTACAGTAAATGGCTGAAGTTTTGTTTTCCGAAACAATTAAGGTCTACATCTGCCCTTCATCATTGACCTAGTATATGCTTATCTTCTGAGAGCATAGGCTCTTAGCAAAACATAGTCTGAAATGTTTTACGTGGTGAAAAAATGAATAAAGTTTGTCCTTCAAATACTTAATTGAATTTTACTACTGTATGGTCCGTTTTACCAATCTGTGCTGAGTGACTAATTTCCTCTTCAAACCTTTCAGTGTCATTTCCTGTGTCGTCTTGAACACCAGCATGCAGATCTCTGTTCCTGCCTCAGCTCATATTCCAGAGATATTTCCGCATCACTGCTGTAACTGGGAAGTACAATTATGTTTTCTTCTCATTGCTTGCCTGCATATATCATTGCCTTCGTTTACAGTTTACAAAATGGTTTACTTCCTACTGATAGCAGTTCTAGTCACATATGCTGTTTAGCTGTGTGATCCCATTTATCTCCAGTGCTATATTTTGTAACATTCCTCATAGTAGGGGCTGCCTTTTACCTTGTGCATTTATCTGGTGAGTTCCTAAGTTTGTTCACAGTTGACCGAGTCAAGATACAGGAAATGTAAAAGATCTTTTAAAAGTAATTCTTATGCTGATTACCTAGTGATACCTTAGTGACTCTAATCCTTTAGATAGTAATCTTACACTGCTGATGAGTGCCTGGAAGCGTTTTGTTGCCTTTGCTGAATGGGGTTATCTGGACCCGATGCTTTTCGCATCCTCTGAACAGAACACTTACATATAGATGATGATGAAACATGATAAAAACTGGATTCCACTGATAACAACAAAATAAATATTTGCCAGGAGCTCAAATGCTATGTTAGGGGCCTTTAAAATTAGAAACCAAATAGGTTTCTATTTTTTTTAAGTTATTTCAAAGTAAAGTGTTAGATATTATAACCATTTCATTTGCAGAGAAAAAAAAAGTAGTTTACTAATACATTTGAACAATATTGAGATGTTTCTCAAGTACAGCGAGTATTCTACACACAGTTAAACATTGATTTTGTTTTGTTTTTTTTTTTTCCCCTGGAATTGTGTATATTAACAACTGCCAAACTCAGCTAATGTGGGTTTATGGGCTCCTATTTATAAAAAATGTGCCTATTTATGAAGAAGAGAGGTGGAATTCATGAGGATTTTATAAAGATAGCACTGTGCTGAGGAAAACTGGAGTTGTGCGTTCTGAAAAATACCCTTCCTGACACCTAGAGGCGATCAGCAAAAATGCTGAAGAGCCCACAGACCCAACTCCTCCAAAAAAAGGGAAGGCAAATCCAACAAGCCAGTGATTCTTCTAACAAACAAAATCTTATGCAACGTTTGGATTGGCATTGCACTATCAAATAAACAAAAATTACAGCACAGTACAGCCACTCTTGTGAAGCTTTCTATACATGTTGCATCTATGCCTGTAGAAAGTAAGCAAAAAGGAATTTGTTTGCATATATAATGTGCCATGAAATATTGTTAGTTCAAAATATGTATATATCTTATCGCTTATTTATTCTAGATTATGAGGTGCACAACAAACATTATGCAAACTGCATAAAAGTTGGTTTAAGTATACTGGACTAAAAATTAAAAAATAAAAAACCCCAAAACCTTAAAAGTCAGTGTGTACCCATGAACCTCGTACTTGCAGCCAATGTAAAACACCTGTGGTCTTTGAAAGTCAGTTTTCGAGCAACTTGATTCCACTGAAGTTTGGGTTTGAGACCTTAGAGAATTACTCTAAATCTAGGGATTACAAAATAACTTTTATTTTCATCAATGCACTCTCCAGTGGGTGCAGCTGGGTTTGCGTGAAGTGCTGACAATCATGGTCATGAGGCACATTTGAGAGAAGCCGTTTTGAACACAGCTGTTTCTACCTGAAGGCTCTTCAATTAAATTCACCTGCGGCTTTTAAAGGCTTTATTAAGCCACACCTGAGGCGGTGTGGTAGTTTTTCCAAGTAACTCCATGCAATTTTCAAACTTTGCCTGCAGAATGAGTGCCATCAAGTGACTGAAACGCTTCTTGATGCGATTTTAATGCCGGCGCAGGGAGGCTGCCGGGTTTCTTGAGCTCAGCTCGGTTCCGAGACTGCCTCACCCCTCACCCCTCACCAGTGAAGCTCGGCCACTACAGCGGAAGGCGCTGGTCGGGGCGGGAAGCCCCTCAGGTGGGTAGCTGTGCGCGCGCGTCCTTCCTGCCGTACCACAGAGGAGCTGCTCCCCGCTGTCGAACAGGCCGAGTCTCGCCGGGCCGCTGACCCCCTCGTCGGACCGATCCGCCGCTTCAGCGAAACACTGGGCCTGGCCCCACGGCCGCCAGAACCCTCTCTCAGGGCTGCAGCGGACTACCAGCCTCCTCCCGCCCGCCTCTTACCACGTGACGCCGGCTCCTCCTCTTCTCTGGCCGCGCGGCGTCGCTGTCTGGGTATTTGAACCTCGCTTCCGCCATCTTCCTAGCGCCTCGGTACCGAGCGGAGCGGCGCGGAGAGACGCCTCGGGAAAGGTAACGGGGTCGGGGCGTCCCCCTCATCCTTGTGGGAGCGGGTGTGGCCGTTTTAAAAACCCTGAATGATGGTAATGGCGGTCACCGTTAGTTACCGCCAGGAGCAGTATTACATGGGTTGGGTTGTAGTGAGGTGGGCCTGAGTGACCGCTGCAGCTGTGGTAGCTGACTGTTGTGGCGGCTTTTCTCCTCTCAGCCCTTGGAAACGGAGAGGTGGAAGGGTAGGAGCGGTGCTCTCCTTAGTCCTGGGAAAAACGGCTGTCGAGATTGGAGAGGAGGAACAGAGCGGGGCCTCCAGCGACCCGAACCTGCGGGGGGAGGGGAGGAGGCGCGCGCTGCTCAGTCATGGTGGCTCATGGCGGGGAGGGAGAGAGCGTTTAGGCCCGTTGGCGGGGCTGGGGCCTGGCCAGAGGAACGCTTCTGTCTGGACCTCCCCGAGGACTCGCTCTGGGTTCTCCCGGTCATTGAATAGATTTTCCTGCTGGCTGGGATAGGGATTCTGGGCGGGCTGGGGAGGACTTTCTGCAGAGCGAGGCTGGGCTTGGCTCTCGCGGAGGTGTCCTTCGGAGGCCGCGGATCGGTGTCTCCTTTCTCGAGCCCGACACCGAAGCGGTGCGGCAGCCGCCTACCGTTACGAGGCGCCGGAGTGGGCGGGGAGGTGCCGC